ACGTGCCGGTGGACTTGCCGTTTGGCGCGCGGGGGGGGGGGGGGGAGTTTACCTATTGATGGTGTGAAAAGGGAATTTTTTAAGAGCTGCGAAAGTTTGGGGTACCACTACTTGAAAAATATACTGTACCATTGAAAATTAGTTTAATGTTTAGTTCGATTTAGAACATCTTTCCAATGGTTGCTTAATTTGAAACCATCTTCTCGGTTGAAATTGTGTCTGTGTTTGTAGATCTGAATTGCCTCGTGAACAAATCTCTGATAAAAACCACACTTTCGTCATTTGTCCACATGGCCTCCCAGCTCTGAACCTTTTCCTACACCACATCAATTCCAGGCATCCCGCCATCAAATTCACCATTAAACTAATTTTCAATGGTACAGTATATTTTTCAAGTAGTGGTACCCCAAACTTTCGCAGCTCTTAAAAAATTCCCTTTTCACACCATCAATAGGTAAACTCCCCCTCCCCGCGCCAAACAGCAAGTCCACCCGCACGTACACCACCTCTATGCTAAGTCGGCCAATCAAATGCTAATTTTTAATGCTAATTCCTTTGTCAAGGTACCTTGTTTCCTCGCACACAGCTTAAAGGTCCGCGGTCTGAGCGTGGCTGTGTTTCACTCCAGCGCTGTCCTCGAGACAGCCTGATCCCTTCACCTGATGAAGGCCGCTTGTGTTGTGGCCGAAACGTCGTGATTTTTGTTGTTTTATTTTTTACCTACGTGACTTTACCGAATAGAACCAAAGAGTTTTAGCGAATGTGTTCAGTTGTGTGTTTATTCCAATCTGTTCTTATACACGACGAGCAATGACTCATCATCACAGTGACTGCGGTGTGCTGATGAGTCCCAAGTAGGGCGAAACCGGTTTTGCAGTTGTCTAACGCTGCTGACAGTTGGTGAGATCTGCCCAGCTGCATTGTGATGGTTACCTGAGACAAGGTGAGTCACAATGCAGTTGTTCAGGAACCTGTTGATAGGGGCGGGGGCAGTTGTCCGTGTAATGCCGCTCCCTCCTCCCCCCTCTCACCTCTCCTGACCCCGTCGCTGGGTTTATGTTCCGAACATTGCCTCTCGCTTCCCACTCTTTTTTCTCTCTCTATTTCCTCTCCCGTTCCTTGCTCTCTTTGCTCCCATAAATGTTCTATACATGTCCCAGAGGTCCGAGAGTCCGAGACTCCTCCATCCCTGTGGTGACCTGCCCCCCTTACTGGACGTCAGTGAAAAAGAGCTTCACAGCTCAACGGATTCGCCCAGCGTCAATAAATATTCTGATTTCGAACCGCCACGAATACAGAGTTGCAAGCAACCACAACAACAAAGACCGCCATCAAGTCTCGCCGAATATGTGTTGTTGTCGTCGTCGTTTTTATTGGAGCCTCTACCACGCACGGACAAATAACTCATGAAACCAGCACAGCCGGGGGGGGGGGGGGGGGGGGGGCTCACAGGAACTAACAACAAACAAGCAACAGCGATACGCCGCTACAACAAATGAAACCTGGAGAGAGCTAAAAACATCACCGCGCAGAATTCATCGTCAAGGCCGGCACCAGAAGCAGCACGCTCCCAGCGGAGTCTCCCCCGCCACCACCTCTTTCTTCGGTTGCGATGGTCCGACGTTCCGCTCCACGTGGCGTCAAGGATCCCGCACGAAGGTTTGCCACCTGTCCCCGTGTTTGCCAGGATTTTCCTCCTCGTCCAGGACGAGACGGCAACTGATGCAGGTTCCGGGGAAATCGCGGAAGACTTCCCGGCACGATTTCATGTCCCGGTGTTTGCCCATTGCACGATAATGCTACTCCAGTACTGCACCACTCACGACAAGGTTTTTTTTTTTACTCACAGTTCCCACCTCTTCTGGTACGGTGATATATTCCTCTAGCCCATGATATGTCGCTGTTTTTTGTTGTTTCGTATCTCAGAGGTGGCAACCCCCGTTTGCACCGCGTGCTGTTCGGATGCGACGTCCGACGTTTTTGCTCGCAAGGAGCCGGGTCCTTCTCCAGGCGTCGATCCAACAAACCCCAAGCTCCCAGCGCACGGAAGCGAAACGTCGGCACGGCCTGCACGTTTATTCTCTGTCCGCAACGCTGCACGCGCTCCAAACGGATGCCTCGTCCCACGTGGTGCAGCCTGTATGACAATCGGGCTCGAATTGGGAGGGAGGAGGGGTGGCTGTGGTGGTGGGGGGGCAGTAAAATTTTCCCGGTGGGCGGGGGGGGGGTCTGTGACGTAGGGGTCGGGGGGGGGGGTGGCTCGGTCTGTGACGTAGGGGTCGGGGGGGGGGGGGGTCCGTGACGTAGCCCGAGTGACCTCGTCACGAAAGCCCGAGAGACGAGACCGACTCGTTAGGTAGATAAGACCATCGGGAACGCAATGATTCATGACGGTAAACTTCAAAATTATACAAATACAAAACTCAGAGTAAACTACAAAGAGAAAAAACTTCACTATATCAAGGTTGTTTCTTTTTTTGGGGGGGGAGGTATGATAATATATTTTTTGTTCTTGATTAATGTGATTTGAATGTTACGTTGGTATTGACTGCAACTTGGATAAACACACAGTGCAGTGCCACTGCTCAATTAATATACTGTGCGGCCTACCCACTAGGGCCTTCACTCACCCACTTGGGCCTTGTCTCACCCACTAGGGCCTTCACCCACCCACTAGGGCCTTCACTGCCCTACCCACTTGGGTCTTCTCTCATCCAATATGGCCTTTTTTCACCCACCAGGGCCTTCTCTCACCCACCGACTAGGGCCTTTACTCACCCACCCACATGGGCCTTCACCCAAATCTTTAATGGGTTTAACTCACTCGGACCTTCCCTCCCTCACACAGGGCCTTCACTCACCCAACAGGTTTCTCACTCACCCACCCACTCACCAGGTTCTTCACTCACTCACTCACTCACCCTCCAAGAGCCTTAACTCACCCGGGCCTTCACTTTCATCCAGGGCTTTCACTGTCTCACCAGAGCCTCTGCTCACCAGATTCTTCACCCTCTCACCCAGGGCCTTCACTGCTGCTGCTGCTGGACTCACGTGAGAAACCTGGTGCGGTGTCACCTTAACAACACTCCCACGTCTGCCGCCCTCCCATGGGCAAGGAGATTAACAATTGCTGTTGTTTTTTTTTTTAAAAGGAACCACAAATCTAAATCAATAACAACAACAAAACATCACCGCCACCCTCGTCATCGTCATCACTGTCTGCAGCAGCAGCAGCGATAACGAATAAGCGCCGTCTACAACCTGGTTTTGCAACGCTGTCGTTCGCGAGAAACGGCAGCCGCGTAACAAAACAACAAAGAACGCCGTGACACCAACGGCGGCGATTGGCGTGATTTCAAATCGTTTTTGATTTCAAATCGTTTTGGAAAAAAAATATCGATTTTGTATTTTTCTTTTTTTGTCGCGAAGACAGCGGCCAAGCGGTTGCGGTTTCACCGCCGCTCCGTGCCGCTCTGCAGTTCCCCCCCCCCCCCCCCCATTTCTCATGGTGGGGGGCTACCCTACCACGCTGTGTTCCGCCGAACGGCGACTTCCGCCGATTTTGGTGGAGGGGGTGATGGAAAAATTGGCGGCAATTGGGTTGCCGCAGCAAAACAAACAAAAACTCAAATCAAAACGCGTAAATTGCGTTGGAGATTTCCACCAAGAAAAAAATAAACGGGCAGAACATCTTCATTTTGGGGCAGTTTCCGCCGAACACACATTTTGGTAAAAAAAAAATTTCAGCGGAAAAACTTGGCATAGGAATCCTCTTTTTTCCGCAACTCCGGCGCCCCTGCAAAATACGTCGCACGCTTCCATCTCCGCCAACAACGCTGGCGGGCCTCTGGTCGACTCGACGGCCGGCTCAGCACCGGCGACGGGAGCTTGCGCCTCAAAGCCGGTCCCTTCTCCCCCCCCCCCCGCCCACCACCTCCGACTCCCTCCTCCGCCACCCCCCGGTGACCTCCAGTAAATGTCAAGAGCTCAAAAGCGGTGAGAGGTGAAAGTTGACCGCACGCTCTTCCCTGTGCAGACGCCGTCTTGTAGTCTTGTAGGCGTCGTCACCTTGTGGAGGATGCGTTTCTGGAACGTCCTTTGTGGTTTCGGCTCGGCGCGATCGCGTCGGCGGGCGCTCGCTAACGCGCGTTGCGTCGAGGGCTCGGATGTTAAACTCGAAACTAAAAAAAAAGAAAAGACATTTCTATCGGGGGAGGTTCGGAAGTCGAGTTTTGCTTTCGTCATTTGTGACGATTCTTTTTTTTTCCCCCCCTTCTGCGACGTCGTGAACGCCTTCTCGGAGAGGGGGCGGCACCTGCGAAAGTTCAATGGTCGGCGGCCCGAAGAGTTCGCGAAAGTCTCCACGAGACAGAGTTCAAGACAACGGAAGGAAGATCACAAAACCGCCAACGGGACGACCGCAGATAACACCAAAGTCACCGCTCGTCGGCAAGGCTCCAAAAACAACAGAGGAAGGGAATCGTTTCCCCGGTGAATCCGCTCGCTCGCCGCTCTCCAAGTTCCCAATCATCCCACGCTCGCCGTCCATCCCAAGCGCCGGTCACGGAGAACTTCCCGTGCAAAAGTAAAATAACAAACCCCAAATGGAACAAACGACCCACACTCAAGTCTCCTCCACCGTTGTTCGCAGTCCGAGCTGCAGCCGCTAACGGCCTCCGTCGATCGTCGTCCCTTGCACGCTCACCGACTCATTAGCCCGCTACCAACTCGCCAGTCCACCTGCTTGTCCGCTCACTCGCCTACCCACCCACACATCTGTTCGTTTGCTCGCTCAACAGATTATAAACTCGCCCGTGCTCCAGCCGGCTCGCTCATCCACCAGCTTGTTCTCTCGCCCACCCACCAGCCCGCACATGATCTTCTCCGCTCGCTTGTCCACAGCTCGCCCACCCACCCACCCACAATCTCGCCCACCCACCCACCATCTCACCCTCCCACCCATCCTCCCACACCCCCACCGGCCATCCCGCCCACCCACCCGCATGCGCGCGATCACGCGCTCGCCCGATATTTGTTGTAGACGTCGAGGAAGAGCGGGCGGCAGGAGATGCGCGCACCGAGCCTGGCGCAGATGAGGAAGGAGCCGGAGAGCTTGCGCAGCAGCGAGTAGCTCTCCTCGGGCGGGGGTGCCAGGCGCTGGCGCATGACGCTGGGCATGAGGCCGACGACGCGGCGCGCCGTGGACTGGGAGCCGAAGTCGAAGACGGCGTCGCCTGAGAAGGCCTCCCCGATGATCATCACCGCGTCCACGTGCGTGTCCTCCAGCAGCTGGCGCGGGGGGGGGGGGGAGAGAGAGGAGGGGTAAAGGGGCGAAAGGGTGAGAGGGTAAGAGGGTGAGAGGGTGAGAGGGTGAGAGGGTGAGAGGGTAAGAGGGTGAGAGGGTAAGAGGGTGAGAGGGTAAGAGGGTGAGAGGGTGAGAGGGTGAGAGGGTGAGAGGGTGTGAGAGGGTAAGAGGGTGAGAGGGTGAGAGGGTGAGAGGGTGAGAGGGTGAGAGGGTGTGAGAGGGTGTTAGAGGGTGAGAGGGTGAGAGGGTGAGAGGGTGAGAGGGTGTGAGAGGGTAAGAGGGTGAGAGGGTAAGAGGGTGAGAGGGTGAGAGGGTGAGAGGGTGAGAGGGTGAGAGGGTGTGAGAGGGTGTTAGAGGGTGAGAGGGTAAGAGGGTGAGAGGGTGAGAGGGTGAGAGGGTGTGAGAGGGTGAGAGGGTGAGAGGGTGAGAGGGTGAGAGGGTGAGAGGGTGAGAGGGCGAGAGGGTGAGAGGGCGAGAGGGTGAGAGGGCGAGAGGGCGAGAGGGCGAGAGGGCGAGAGGGCGAGAGGGCGAGAGGGCGAGAGGGCGAGAGGGCGAGAGGGCGAGAGGGCGAGAGGGCGAGAGGGCGAGAGGGCGAGAGGGCGAAGAGGGCGAGAGGGCGAGAGGGCGAGAGGGCGAGAGGGCGAGAGGGCGAGAGGGCGAGAGGGCGAGAGGGCGAGAGGGCGAGAGGGTGAGAGGGCGAGAGGGCGAGAGGGTGAGAGGGTGAGAGGGTAAGAGGGTGAGAGGGTGAGAGGGTGAGAGGGTAAGAGGGTGAGAGGGTAAGAGGGTGAGAGGGTGAGAGGGTGAGAGGGTGAGAGGGTGTGAGAGGGGTGTTAGAGGGTGAGAGGGTAAGAGGGTGAGAGGGTGAGAGGGTGAGAGAGTGAGAGGGTGAGAGGGTGAGAGGGTGTGAGAGGGTGAGAGGGTGAGAGGGTGAGAGGGTGAGAGGGCGAGAGGGTGAGAGGGTGAGAGGGTGAGAGGGCGAGAGGGTTGGTGGGAGGGTGAAAGGGTGAGAGGGTGAGAGGGTGAGAGGGTTGGTGGGAGGGTGAGAGGGCGAGAGGGTGAGAGGGTGAGAGGGTGAGAGGGTGAGAGGGTGAGAGGGTGAGAGGGCGAGGGTTGGTGGGAGTTGTAATCGACCAAATTGCAACTCCCGTGCGCCGACCACTGTGGCACTGTAGCAACTTCCGTCCTGGGGTGGCGGGTGAGTGGCGGGGTGAGTGGCGGGGTGAGTGGCGGGGTGAGTGGCGGGGTGAGTGGCGGGGTGAGTGGCGGGGTGAGTGGCGGGGTGAGTGGCGGGGTGAGGCACGGGGTGAGTGGCGGGGTGAGTGGCGGGGTGAGGCACGGGGTGAGTGGCGGGGTGAGTGGCGGGGTGAGTGGCGGGGTGAGTGGCGGGGTGAGTGGCGGGGTGAGTGGCGGGGTGAGTGGCGGGGTGAGTGGCGGGGTGAGGCACGGGGTGAGTGGCGGGGTGAGTGGGGGGGTGAGGCACGGGGTGAGTGGCGGGGTGAGTGGCGGGGTGAGTGGCGGGGTGAGTGGCGGGGTGAGGCACGGGGTGAGTGGCGGGGTGAGTGGCGGGGTGAGGCACGGGGTGAGTGGCGGGGTGAGTGGCGGGGTGAGTGGCGGGGTGAGTGGCGGGTGAGGCACGGGGTGAGTGGCAGGGTGAGTGGCGGGGTGAGTGGCGGGGTGAGTGGCGGGGTGAGGCACGGGGTGAGTGGCAGGGTGAGTGGCGGGGTGAGTGGCGGGGTGAGTGGCGGGGTGAGGCACGGGGTGAGTGGCGGGGTGAGGGGCGGGGTGAGTGGCGGGGTGAGTGGCGGGGTGAGGCACGGGGTGAGTGGCGGGGTGAGGCACGGGGTGAGTGGCGGGGTGAGTGGCGGGGTGAGTGGCGGGGTGAGTGGCGGGGTGAGTAGCGGGGTGAGTGGCAGGGTGAGGCACGGGGTGAGTGGCTGGGTGAGGCACGGGGTGAGTGGCGGGGTGAGTGGCGGGGTGAGGCACGGGGTGAGTGGCGGGGTGAGTGGCGGGGTGAGTGGCGGGGTGAGTGGCGGGGTGAGTGGCAGGGTGAGGCACGGGGTGAGTGGCGGGGTGAGTGGCGGGGTGAGTGGCGGGGTGAGGCGCGGGGTGAGGCACGGGGTGAGTGGCGGGGTGAGTGGCGGGGTGAGTGGCGGGGTGAGGCACGGGGTGAGTGGCGGGGTGAGTGGCGGGGTGAGTGGCGGGGTGAGTGGCGGGGTGAGTGGCGGGGTGAGTGGCAGGGTGAGGCACAGGGTGAGTGGCGGGGTGAGTGGCGTGGTGAGTGGCGGGGTGAGTGGCGGGGTGAGTGGCGGGGTGAGTGGCGGGGTGAGTGGCGGGGTGAGTGGCAGGGTGAGTGGCGGGGTGAGTGGCGGGGTGAGTGGCGGGGTGAGTGGCGGGGTGAGTGGCGGGGTGAGTGGTGGCGTGCTCACCTTGGTCTCGTACCCCGTGAGGAACTTGAGTTCCCGCAGCTCCTCCACAACGCGCCGCTTGTCCCCGAATGATGCCGACATCACGAGCTGGGGGGGGGGGGTGGAGCGGGGGGGTGGGAACGGCGGAGGGGGGGCGGGGTGAGGCAGCTCGCACGGCGAGGTTCGCGGTCGCAATCCGGCAGGCCTCCCTGGTCAATACTGCGGCGGGTATATTGGCCGTGAACATACTACTACTGTGACTACTACTGCTACGAGGACTACACACCGCCTGCTAGGCCACACCGCAGCAATCAGCTCCCCCTGCTGCCAGACTGACCGACACCCGGCAAGGTGCTGAGTCAACTCGTGTCGCACAGGGACAGCTGCCACGGGGGGTGCCCCTTTCAAACGTGTTGAGATGCGATGTGGGTCGCTTGCCGCGTGCAAAGTGCTGGAGAGATGCCCCCGATAGCCGGACCCCCGTGCCCCCCCCTGCCCCCCGGCCCCCCCCCCCCTTGCCCCGGGGGTTTCGCCGCGCGACGATTCACAGACGGAGCCCCCTGGGCGGCTGAACCGGGACCTCCTCCCCCGCCACCGCCGCCACTGCCGCTCACCTCGAGGAAGTGGTCGATGAATGGCTTCTCGTAGTCACGGCTCGCCCCGAAATCCAGCAGCCCCACCTAAGCGCGCGCAACGCAACGCGCACACAATGACAATCATCAATCCCCCCTCCCCCTCCACGATAGTCTTCTGGGGCAAGGGCTCTGAGCGAGCGCCTACGAAGGCCGGAACTGCGCCGGAGGGGGGCGGTGTGGCCAGCACCACGCCCGGCAGCCTTCGTCTCCCCGGTGGCGATGTTTCACGCGGCGCTTGAAGGAACTACGTTTTAAGGCCGAGTCGACCTAGGGGAGGGCCCAGGACCGCTTCGGATATTCATCGTCGAAGTTGGACTGTGTGGGAATCGAGACGCGCACAGAGGCGCACGCATCCCAAGAGCCCCCACGAGGCGGCGCCCTCCGCCAGCCAGCGGCGCGTGGCAGTCGCCCTGCCCTGCATGCTGTCGCGCGTGTGGCGTCACTGAGTGAGTGCCACGGGACGAGGAATCCATTCGGGAATCTCGCAGGGGCCGCGAGGTGTCGCGGAGCTACCTCCGAGTTTCCTCGATCGACAGAGTAGGGGGTGGCACTTTCCCACCCATCCTGCGACTCAAGCTCTGAGACCTGGAATCTGGCATCTGGGATCTGGTACCTAGGATGAGATCTGGGATCAAACCCTGGGATCTGAGACCGAGGATACGATATATGATATCTGGGGCCTGGGATGTTGTACTTGGGATTTGGGAAACTGGGTTTCTGGAATTTCACACCTGCGATCTGGTATCTGGGATGATCTGCAATGTGACATGGCACCTGAAACCTGGAATCTGGTATCTGGAATATGACATCTGGGACCTTGGATCTGGCACCTGGCACCTGGCACCGGTGACCTTGGGATCTAAAATATGACACTGAGGATCTTGGACCTGGAATTTGCAATGTGACACTTGGGATCTGGGATTTGGCACCTGTGACCTGGGATCTAGAATACGGTACACAGGATCTGGGACCTGGCACCCTATGACCTGGGACGTGAGCCCCCGTTACTCACTCTGCGGGTCTCGGGGTCGTAGATGAAGTTGGACCAGTTGGGGTCGGTCTGCATGAAGCGGAACTCGAAGAGCTCTCGCAGGCACAGGCGCATGATGTGCAGGGAGATCTGCACAGCGGAGACACACACGGCACGCTGGACCTGTTAAGGGTCTGGCACGGTGGAGAACCGTAGGTATTTGTATCATCATCATCAGCAAATTGGTAATGCTCACTAACACACACACACATGAACATACATACAAACACGTGAATACACAAACACACACAAAGACAAAGATCCCCCTTATAGCCTTAACAGACTGTAGGGACAAGTGCTGTTAGCGAGCGCCTGTGATGGATGGCACTGCACACGAGGGAGTGGGTGGCCAACACCACGCCCAACCGCCTTTGTCTCCCCAGTGGCGATATTTACACGTCACACCAAGTACTCATTTGAGGCTGGGTCCACGTAGGGGAGGCTTAGAACCGTTTAAGACAATCGTCGCTGCTGTTGGCCGTGAGCGGGAATCGAACTCAGGTCATCGGGTTTGTAGCACAGCACGCTTACCAGTGAGCCACCGATCCCCATATACAGGACCACACACACACACATATACCAATACACATACACGCGTCAATACACACGCACCCAACCATAGCGGCGTGGCCGCAACAACCGCAAAGAAAAAGCGCGGCGCGTCCGGCCGCTCGTTCATTGATAAACTTCACTGCGCTTGGCGACCCCAGGTGACCCCGTGACCCCGTACCCAGTTGCGCGTCTCCTGGTCGAGCGACTCGGTGTGGTCGAGCGGCAGGCCGGGCACGAGCTCCGTGGTGAGCACCCTGGCGCTGCTCAGCGCGTCCACCACGCGCGGCACGAACAGCGCCTCCTCCTCCAGCAGCAGGGTCCTGCACAGGGACACGGGGGACACGGAGACACGGGACACACGGAGTGAGTCACGGGGACACAGGGAGACGGAGACACGGAGACACGGGGACACGGAGTGAGTCACGGAGACACTGGGAGACGGAGACATGGAGACACAGGGACACAGGCATGGGGACACGGAGTGAGTCACGTGAACACGGGGACACGGGGACATGCAGTGAGTCATGGAGACACGGAGACACGGAGACACGGGGACACGTAAACACGGGGACACGGGGCATGGGGACACGGGGCATGTGGACACGGAGTGAGTCACGGAGACACAGGGACACGGAGACACAGGGACACGGAGACACGGAGACACGGAGACACGGGGACACGGAAACACGGGGACACGGGGCATGTGGACACGGAGTGCGTGCGTGCGCTCGTTGCTTGTGCGCGTCTCACCGGAAGCGCCGCGTGCATGCGGCCTCGCGCTCGTAGTCGCACTCCCACGCGAGCTCCCGGCCCAGCACCTCCACCACATTCTCCACAAACAGCCCTGCACCACGAAGACAAAGATCCCCCCTGTAGCCTTAACGGACTCTTGTTGGGGCAAGTGCTGCTAGCGAGCAGCGCCTGTGAAGGCCGGCGTGCCACATGAGGGGGTGGGGGTGGCAAACACCGTGCCCGGCCGCCTTTGTCTCCCCAGTGGTGATGTTTACACACCGCAATAGGTACTCAATCAATGCTGAATCGACCTAGGGGATGCCCAGGACCGGTTCAGATATTCGCCACGATTATTGGTCGTGAGTAGGAATCGAACTCCGGTCGCTGGGCTCGGAGCGCAATGCGCTAACCACTGCGCCACCACTCCCCACACGCACACACACGTACACGCGCCCACAGGCATATGGACACAGTAATACGGGCACATGCACCCACCAACACATACAACAACCCATGTACACACGCACGCACAGTCACAAAGACGTTAACATAACCCTGACCCCTGGTCTCTGACCCTGACCCCAGTCTCTGACCCTGACCCCGGTCTCTGTGGAGGCACGTACCCTCGGGGAGCAGCTTGCTCACGCTGAGCACCATCATCAAGTTCTCCACATCGCTTTCGATGCTCTGGGCCACTCCGGGGTACTGCAACAAAAGCAGCATCATCAGCATCAGCAGCAGCATCATCATGATAATCATCAGCAGCAGCATCATCAGCAGCAGCATCATCAGCAGCAGCATGATCAGCAGCATCATGAGCATCATCGTCATCAGCAGGAGCATCATCAGGAGCAGCATGATCAGCAGCAGCATGATCAACAGCATCATGAGAATCATTAGCAGCAGCATCATCAGCAGCATTATCAGCAGCAACATGATCAGCAGCATCAGCAGCATTATCAGCAGCAACATGATCAGCAGCATCATGAGCATCATCAGCATCATCATCAACAGCAGCATCACCAGTGACATCATCATATCATCGTCAGCATAATGAGAATCATCATCATAATCATCAGCGGGATCATAATCAGGAGCAATTGTGGCATCAGGAAAATGAAGCCTCTTGGAGTGTGCATGTGTACGTGTACGCGTGGTGCGTTGTACTGTGCACACGTGTGTGTGGTGGGCCACCTCGAGGTCCACTCAACCATAAATGAGTATCTGGGGAGACAAGCATGGCCGAGCGTGATGCAGACCACCGACCCACTCTCGTGTGCCGTGCCGACCTACTCGCGAGACAGAACTTTGCCCCAAAAGTTTGCTTACAGCCGATATCGTTGTCTTTCTTGTGTGCAGTGCAGTATATGTGTCACGGTACATGGGTCTGTCCCGCGACCTCCTGCCAGCATCAGCGGAGCCTTCCGACGCTCTCACCACCGCGTGACGGCGGTGGGAGTGCACCTAGCCTGGCACGAGCGCCGCGGTGGCGGCGGTCTGTTGTCGGTGCTGAGAATGGGACCGCCGCCCCCTGGCCCCGCCCCTCCACGCGGGGGGCGGGAGTGGGAGGGAGTGGGGGGAGTGGGGGGAGTGGGGGGAGTCCCTCTCACCCCTCCACGCGGGGGGCGGGAGTGGGGGGAGTGGGGGGAGTGGGGGGGAGTCCCTCTCACCTGGACCTTCATGGCCACCTGGCGGCCGTCGTGGAGCCGGGCGAGGTGCACCTGGCCGATGGAGGCGGCCGCGAAGGGCCGCTCGTTGAACTCGGCGAGGCCGTCCCGCCACCGCTCGCCCAGCTCGGCGCTCAGCACCTTCTGCGGGGCGACGACGCGGAGGCAGCGGCCGGGGGTCACCGTCGCCCACGCCGGGAGACGTCCGCGACGGCCCAAACACAGTGCCGGATTTATCCTCGTAGCAAAAGTAGCTACATATGTAGCAGCTACTACATATGTAGTGTAGTAACATATGTAGTAGCTACTACATATGTAGTGTAGTATGTAGTAGCTACTACATATGTAGTGTAGCTACATATGTAGTAGCTACATATGTAGCAGCTACATGTGTAGCAGCTACATGTGTAGCAGCTACTACATATGTTACTACACTACATATGTAGTAACTACTACATGTGTAGCAGCTACATGTGTAGCAGCTACATGTGTAGCAGCTACATGTGTAGCAGCTACATGTGTAGCAGCTACATGTGTAGCAGCTACTACATATGTTACTACACTACATATGTAGTAACTACTACATGTGTAGTAGCTACATGTGTAGTACATATGTAGCAGCTACATATGTAGCAGCTACATGTGTAGCAGCTACATGTGTAGCAGCTACATGTGTAGCAGCTACTACATGTGTAGCAGCTACTACATGTGTAGCAGCTACTACATGTGTAGCAGCTACTACATGTGTAGCAGCTACTACATGTGTAGCAGCTACTACATGTGTAGCAGCTACTACATGTGTAGCAGCTACTACATGTGTAGCAGCTACTACATGTGTAGCAGCTACTACATGTGTAGCAGCTACTACATGTGTAGCAGCTACTACATGTGTAGCAGCTACTACATGTGTAGCAGCTACTACATGTGTAGCAGCTACTACATGTGTAGCAGCTACTACATATGTAGCTGCTACATATGTAGTAGCTACTACATATGTAGTGTAGTATGTAGGAGCTACTACATATGTAGTGTAGTAACATATGTAATAGCTACTACATATGTAGTGTAGTAACATGTGTAGTAGCTACTACACATGTTACTACACTTCATATGTACTACACTACATATGTAGTAGTAGCTACGGGCCACGCATTTTCAAGGGCCCCGGCGCTAAATGCTTTCAAGCTATCAACTCCGGTTCAGTGATTCTGCACTTGCTCTATTACTATAGTACTATACCGCCTTCAACTTTTACGAACGACTGGGTGTTTAAGGTTCGCGATTTGTCGTATTATCTGGCTGTATAGCAAGTGAAAAAATACAATGATTTTACTATGCGAGTTAAACATTTGCGTTTAATATTTGCGTGTTTTTTTTTAATTTAGGGACTCTTTATAACAACATATGCTACAGCCCCCGCACACTTAGCTTAATCCGGCACTGCCCAAACCGTTTGCCTTCGACGCCGCTGGTTTAACACGGCGTTTGCCCGGTCAAGCCAGAAGGTAGCGGGGTCGACGGACTCAAAATGATACGGCACTCGCGCTGCGTGTGCACGCGCGGACGCAGGGCGGAGTTCCACTCGCGAGGTCGCGTTCGTTGCTCGCCACGAATGAACCACGTGATGCCTTTGCCCATCTCGTCACAAGGAGCATGAACCATCACCACGCGAACTCCGCTCGTCTTCGCCGCAGCGGCGGCTTTTGGTCTGGCCATGGTGCAAAAACTAAGGTCACCGCATCGTCGCGGCGCTTTTGGATGCGCTTCTGCGGCCGTCTGGAATGCGCTCTTCCTTCCGATATTAGGAAGCCACTGGAGCTATCCACGATGTTTACATACCGCACCACGTGTGTAACTCATTGAAGGCCAAGTTAACCTAGGGGAGGCCCAGGACAGGTTTAGACATTCGCCACCGATGTTGGCCCTGAGCGGGAATCGACCCGAGGTCTCTGTGTTTGCAGCGCAGCGCTTTTTGCGGTTAATTTTTGTGTCCTTCTCCCCGCACCTCCGATTAGCGCGGTTCAACGTACGTACATAGCCACTGCGCTACTGCTCCCCAACACACGCACACGCACGCGCACCCACGAGGCTCACAGGTCAGAGAGCGGAGGTCAGATACAAGAGTTCTAACGATTGGAGGTCACATGAGTCTGGTGCCCTGGGCTCTGGATGCACGAATACTTGACTCACCGAATGATTAACTTAATGAATCATAGAATGGCGGGTTGGTTGGCTGGTTGGCCGAGCGACCCAGTGACCGATTTATTGGGCGACTGACCCAACTGGTTGACTCAATGTTTAAGTGAATGAATAATTGACTGATTGATTGGATGACTGATATGTTTCCTGACCAACTGAATGGTCGACTGAGTGGCTGACTGATTTGACTAATGTTACAACTGAACGCTTGACTGAATGACTATTGACTCATTGACTGACTGAATGATTGACTTTAGACACTCTTTAACTTAGAGATCGCTCTTCAGAGATGGATCGATCGCATGACTGACAGACAAGGCGATTGACAGATCGACTGACCGCCGACGGAACAACCGGCTGACTCGTTGATCGACCGGGGCACCGCGGTGGCGAGATGTTATCTCCCTCGCCTGGTATACAGGAGGTCGTGGGTTCAATCCCGACCCTGACGATGCCTGTATATTTGGAGTTTGCATGTCTTTCTTCCCGGGTTCACGTGAAATGTTCTTCAACATCACGCATTCGGAGTATTAGCACTGTGGCTAAGTGGGCTGACGTCCACTCACGTAACATTGACATACTTTATGTATTTACGTAAAAAGTCACGTTTACAAGCATTTGAGAAATCTTTCACGCTACAAGGACAACAAACTAAACAAAAAACTGCCTTCCGCAGCCAGTCCGCACCTTCGCGCGGTTGGCTACGTACGGCGCGAAAGAAGTTCAACATTCACACATTTGTGGCCAGGCTACTCTTGAGAAAGAGCTATGCAGCTCAGTGGGCCTTACGTGGTAAAATAAAAAATCATCAAAGTAGTTTAGTTTTAGACTGGCATGTTGACCGCGCGTCTAGGAGTGGAGCGAGGAGGAGCCGCTGTGCCCCTGGCCGGGCGTCTCGCACCTTCATCTGCCACGTGGGCATGAAGTCGGCGCTCTGGCGGACCCGCTCGAAGATCTTCTGCACCTGCGGGTTGATGAAGCTGTCGTCTAACGAGGGCGGCAAAGGGGATTGTGGGTAAAAAACAGAGGCAGCATGAGGGATTGTGGGTAAACACAAACATAGAGGCGGCATGAGGGATTGTGGGTAACAGGAATCAATGAGGCGGCACGAGCTGGGTTAGAGGTGCAGACCGTGCGGGGCTGTGGACACTTGTCAAAAAGATCTGTATTGCTCATCGGCTTCCTCCAGTATGAATACATATTCTGATTCTGAGCTCTGTATTGTTGTAGGAGTTTGTGTCGGGCTAGGACACACCGTAACGTAAGGGGCCGGTCCTTGCCTTCTGTAAGATCGTCATTTCGCCAGCGTTCATTCAGGTCAGTCGAAACCAGTCCTTGCCCATCAACACCCGGCGGTGCGTCAGCATTGCAAGCCTGACTGCTGATGAGACACCGAGTGCTTAAACCGGTCCGGAGATTTGCTCGTCTTATCGGCCAAACGTCGCAGAGTTGAAGAACGACACCGAAAAATGACTCAACTGGGATGCCAGGCGGCAACATCGCAACCTCGCCTACTGTGGAAACTTGGCAGGACCCTCCTGAAAAAGAGTCTTGAGCCTCAGCGAGGCTTTCCTGGATAAGCAAGTGGAAATAAATAATAATGTATATTGTTTTATATTTTAGCCTAGGAGACTCCCCGAACGGCAGGGGGCAACGATATCACGCTTGTTTGTTTTAATTCCAATTAAAACTAAACTAAAACTATTTTTTATTTTACCAGGTAAGGAAGCCCACTGAGCAAAGTAGCCCTTTTTCCGGAAACGACCAGACGATCACAAACGATAGCTCAACGAAGTGGCTTCTCATCAGGTGGACATCTACAGCGGCAAAACTACTCTAAACGCGTGGCGTTGATTCAAAAATGCGGAGGGGAGAAACCGGAGGACCCGGTGAAAAATCCACGCGAACACGGGGAGCGAGAGAGAGAGAGAGACACCACAAACTCCAAATATTCAGCAAGACGTCAGGGTCGGGATTGAACCAACGACCTCCTGCACACCAGGCGAGGTCGCTAACATCTCGCGCACCGTGGCGCCCCGCGGTGGCGAGATTGATGAAGTAGCTGCCTTGCTCACTGCTTTAACACCACGTGCCCTCCCCCCCACCCCCGTGTCCCCCCCCCCCCAACTCACCCTGGATGCTGAGCATCTGGCCGAGCTTGAGAGCCGCGCCGCGCACCTTGCACAGCGTCTTGACGATCCGCTCCGCGTTTGCGTCCGACAGGAAGGGGCTCGAGTCGAGCAGGCCGCGACCGCCTGCAGGCCGAGGTGGCGAGAGGTGGCGAGAGGGGTCCGCAAGAGCGGTCGCTCGTCCGTTAGTCCGACGACCTCCACGGCTCGATGGTGTTTTGTTCAATTACAATTTTATTTTGACAGCATCACGATCACCCCACGATGGATTGACCACCGATGGATGACTCTCACGCACGTTGCTGCAAATCCAAAAGAACGCACTGGGAGATCGACGGGCGTCATGTGCAATGTTCAACGTAAACGTCAGCCAGCGTGAATTTGTTCTTCTCGCTTGGGGAAGGGAAAAATATGTCACGGTGTTTTTTGTTGTCGTTGTAGACAACGAAAATTAAGTTTAGAGCACAGGGTTTCTGTGGGTTAGATCACGTAAATATATAAATGCGTCGTTAAACCCCGCCACCACCCGACAGCCGATTAGTAAGGTTTGTTACGTGAACAGAACGTGGCCAATTCGTTACTAGTACAGCAACTCCGGTTGTGTGTTGGAGAGCCAAGCCAAAGCATTTACAATCTAAGTACGACCTTTTGCCAGTAATTACTGGCCAAATATTTACGGTTGAACGACACATTTATATTTTTACGCGATCTAACCCCCCAAAAAATAAAAACTGTATTATGGATGATATTGGTCGCGAGAGCCTACCTGTTAAGGTTAAGTTTGTTTACAAAACAACCCCCCCAACAACAAAAGTTGTTTACGAATGCAAAAACAGTTATTGTGACGGATGATTGCGGTAGCGCGCGCAGCAGAGCCTCGATGAGTCTCGAGGCTCAGCTCGCAGGAGGGTGCTGCTACCCCCTGGGATGTTTGGCCATGGATTGCATTCGTGGACGTTTTTAATTTTCGCGCGGGAGGAGGAGGAAAGCGGAGAACCCGGAGAAAACCCCAACACGCAAAACGCGACGAAGGCTTAAAAACTCCGCACAGATTGATTTAAAAAAATATATTTTTTGTATGTACAGTACTGCTATCGCCCGGTCACTGTTTCACGTTGTTCCGATTTAATTGCGGTGAAAGTAGCGGCCGCTAGTGGCTGCGGTGAGTCACGCCGATCAATCGCGTTGCGCACAACGGGCACGTACAGAAAGACGTCGGTTCTCGCGCACACGCGCCCGCACTGCTGTGCGTGAGCTTCCACATAGGGAATCGACGATTAATCGACGACGCAGCGTCACACCAACGAATGTTTCGTGAACATTTCACGGTGAACCGGCTCAGTTCGTGCTTCCGCAGATTTCTAATTGACCGTGCATGGCATTGATTTATTAGCACCATGCCCGAGGCAGGGGGGGGGGGCGGGGGAGTGGGGGGGGCACGAGGCAGAGAGGGCATGGGTGGAGGGAGGAGGCATGGCTTGGGGGCACAGAGGGGGGCAGTGGTGGGGGCAGGAGTAGAGTGGCAAAGGAGTGGGGGATAAGAGGGGAGGGGGGATGGGGGGATTGGTATGGAAGTGGGGGAGGGGTGGGGTAAGGAAGAGGAGATGACGGGGGGGGGGGGCTAAAGGGGGGCGGGGGTAAACAAGAAGGGGGTCTGGAATTTACCGCAATGGCCAGGGTCGGGTCTGTTTTGTTCACAACACATGGCTATGGAACGTCCGTGTACAAAGACAAAGGGTCCCCGTATAGCCTTCCATCAGACTGTCGCGGCAAGTGCTGTTAGCGAGCAGCGCCTATGAAGGTCGCAACGGCACACGAGGGGGTGGGTGGCCAGCACCACGCCCGGCCGCCTTTGTCTCCCGAGCGGCGATGTTTACACACCGCACCGGGTACTCATGTTGAGGCTGAGTCGACCTAGGGGATGCCCAGGAGTGGTTCAGCTAATCGTGGCTGGTGGTGGCCGTGAGCGGACATCGAACTCGGATCGCCGGGTTCGTAGCGCAGTGCGCTAACCACTGCGCCACCGCTCCCTCCAAACGCGTGTACATAAGCAACCTGCCCAACGAGCCATCGGTATACGTCTCCCGTGTACAGCCCTGAGCCAGTGGTGGAAATTCCACACTCCTATGACGGAGGGAGAGTCTACCCAGAAGGTAGACAACAAAAACAACAACAACAACACCCAACCGCCGTTAGCGTCGGCGACGTCACTCTGGCGCTTGTGCCAGGCAAGGTGCATACGCAAAGACACGTGGACTTAAGAATATTCGAGTCGGCGTGTATTCGTGACACGAGTGGTTTTTGGTGAGGTCGTGTGAATGTAAATGCGTCGTTAAACCCGCCACCACCCGGCAAAGGTTTGTCACGCATCGTCGGGTTTAAAGACACATTTATATTCTTTGGTTCTTTCGGTAAAGTCACGTAGAAAGAAAAGATAAATAAATAAATGCTATTTTAAAAAAATATAATGTTACATAATTTATACGTGAAAAAAGTCTTTATTTTTTAATTATTTAACTTTTAACAATTGATTTAATTAATGTTTTCTTTCGACGCGACTTTACCGAAAGAACCAAAGAAACATTCCTGCAGTCACGAAAGCTCCAAATCAAGTTTGTTGACACATTTATATATTTACGCGATCGAACCCCGCTCCCCCCAAAAACAACCCTGTTTTATGGATGATATCGGTCGCGAAAGACTACCACATGTTAAGCCTATACGCAAGCATTGACGCTCTGATGCGTATGGGCGGTATGTGAATTCACATTTAGTGTGATTGAATGAATGCGCGTGAATGCGCGTGCGTGCGCGTGCGTGCAAGTATGTCGGAGTGGTAGGGGCGCGGTGGTACAGCGGTTAGCGCTCTGCGTTACGAACCTGGCGAGCCGAGTTCGCTTCCCGCTCACGGCCAAACACCGCTGACTATTGTCTGAACCGGCCCTGGGCCTCCCCTAGGGCGACTCAGCCTCAAATGGCTACTTGGTGCGATGCGTAAACATCGCCACAGGCGTGTTTCTTGCGTACACAGTCACACACACAGCACTTGCACCAACAGCCCGTGGCGGCTATATGGGGGATCTTTATCTTTGTTTGCGTTGTATGTTTAAATAGGTGTGTGTGTGTGCATAGGTGCGTACAGGTATGGGAGCTGTGTTTGTGTATGCGTGTGTGTACGTGTCTGGGTGCACTTTGTACTATGTGCACCTAGCCTGGCACAGGCGCTGCGGTGACGTCACCGTCACTTAGTGGGGAACGGCGGCTGTTGTTGTTGCTGTACACGTTCGAGTGAGCGTATGTATTCGTGTGACAGCGTGTATATAATTGTGCATGACGATGTGAGTACATGCTGTGTACGATTGTGCACATTTGAGTTTGTCTATGCGCGCGGGAGCGTAAATCATCACTGTGACAGCAGCACTTGCCCCGAGAGCCTGGTTTAGTCTCAGCCGGGGGATCTTTGTCTTTGTGTGTGTGTGCGTGCCATGCCCTTAGCACGCGGCATCACGCACACATCACGCACACAGCACACCCATGACATCAAACAGCCGCGGTCAATGCAGCCAGCATTAATAATAGCAGCTTAATATACTGCCGCTAGAGGGAGGGAATCGTGTACCTCTCTCCCCATAATAGCAACACGGGATTGTTGTTATTTAAAATACATCACCGTTGAAAGTGCTTTTCTTGCTCGCTTGAGCCACTAACAAAGGCTCGTCTGTTTACGGGACCAGCAGAGGCAGTGGTGGACATTCCGCATTCCTATGGCGGGGGCGGGGATGAGCGAGTCCATCCACGGGACAACCGCTGTTGACGTGCCCATAAAGTGATACCCCCAGAGGAATGATGGGCTGAGTAAAACAAAAACATTGACGTCTAAGTAAAATATAGTTTAAAGCCAAAAACAACTTATTAATCGAGCTGGCCAAACGTCCCAATGCCAAGAGATGGTAGAAGAGTAGCGGTGGATTCTTGAATCCATCTGTGTGTGGAGCTTTGAGTGTTCTATGTGTGTGTGTTTTGGGATTTCGCGTGATCGCATGCGGCCACTCAAGAGGCCACTGCCTTGGTCACGATTCGAGCAGTATTAATCAGGGCGGCCACTTGAGTCGAACCGTACTGTGGACGAATCTGTAATGAGAAGCGAGCGCGCCTCCACACAAATAGACAGACCATGACCCATGATGATCATCAAGATGATCATCATGGGTCATGATCATCAAGATGATCATCATGAACAAGATGACCACGCTACACCACTATCCAGCAGTATAGAGACCTTGACTCATGATGATCATCAAGACCAAGATGGCCACACTAAACCACCATACAGCAGTGGAGAGACCATGCCCCATGATGATTTAATGACAATAATTATGCAAATGCATAAACAGATCGAGACCAGTGCCAAAGAGAACCATCTCTTCCTTTCATCCGGCTCGCAATCGAGGGGTGGTTGTGATGTTGTGAAATCAAACGCTTGCGGTCAAGGCCACGCGAAGAAGCCACATTGTCCGAGTACACTTTGAGCTCCCAAGTCACCTCTGCCACTACTTGGCGCAGCTGGGCAGAAATGAATTCCCGGGAACTCCAAAGCCTGGCCGTGCGTGGTGTTTATATAAGGAACTCGCTTTACTACCCGGCTTCGCCCGGGACTTGGATTCTTGTCTTGGATTAATACATGGCCTACGCGGAGGGTTGGAGGGGAGGATGCGTGACGTCAGCAGGCACATTGCGTGACGCTGCCGCATGCGGGTGACATCACAGATGTGACGTCACTGCTCACTTGCCGTGCAAAATATATCCATTAATGCGCCCCCCCCCCCCAAAAAAAGATATATATGCAAAAGTCTATTTTTATACTTTTTGCATTGTGTACAGCCTGGAAGCTACCCACATGCCAAATTTCAGGTTTGTTGCATGTCGGGAAGTATCCTAAATATTTCGAACAGACACACACACATTCACAAATTTCCCTTTTACATACATAGATGGATGTAACACGTGCACGTATTAAAGCATTGCGTTTTGTCGAAACCACCAAGTGGTTTATCCACTGCCGGACGAAGCCGCAGATGACGAGTCGCCTCTGTGGCGCGATCCTCACCCTTGGGCTGCCATTCCGT